TGTGTGTGTGTATATATATACATACACACATGTACATAAACACACAAACATATATATATATACACACATGTACACACACACACATATTCAAATGATCCTTGCCCAGAAAAGCAATATGTTGAAAAACTCAACTTTTCTAAACTATATATACTCTCCTGTCAAAAAAGAGAAAAAAGCCTATTATGTAGAAATGGTTATTATACTGAAGGATGTGAAGATCATGGATTCTCTGAAATCATACTATCTTAAGAAATATTAGCAACATTATGGCATTACATCTGTTAAGTAAACAAGAAATAAAAATACTCCCTTTTAATTTACATGACCTTAAATATGACATTTTAAGGCTTGTAAAAATCAGTCGCAGGGCAAGCACAGATTCCACATTTGTTTACAGGGCACATACCTGCTTATAGCGAAGGGTTCGTCTTTCCAAAGTATTTCGGACAAAGGGGGATTTCCGGGGCAGCGTTGAGCTGTCACTGTCACTACGATAAAGCTGCACCAAAAAGAATGATATTCAGAAACAATTTATCAGCAATTCAGTTCATTCTCTGTGCATACTCGGAGTCTTGGAACAGATTATTTTTGTCCTCTCCACAGGCCCTCGAGTGCATTTATTTATTGGTGCTTGTACCAGGTCTTTGGGTTTCAATTTAAACAAGTTTCTGCTAAAATTTTTAAAAAGCAGAACAAAGCAAACGAAACCTTCCCCCAGCTTCCAGGCTAACTGAGCCAACAAAAGCTCCATGTGATCGAAACCAACGCCGTTTCCTGCCCTGCACAGGCCCACAAAGGCCAGCACTGCCCTCAGCATGGTTCCCTTTTCCTCAGTCTTTCTCATGTGCTGTATTTGTGGCTTTGGCAATAACTGGGAAAAGTGGCTTACAAAAAAGAAACTCATTCCTGGTAGCAGGACAAGCTGACATTGCCAACTGCAGCTGCATCCATCAAGGGACAGGGTGTGCTTTTAAACAGGAAAGTAAAGAATGTTATCTTCATGGGAGCCAAGTCATTACAGCCTTCATTTGGTGGCAGGGGCTCACCTTGGGATCAGTGTGAATCTGTGTGAAATCCAACATCCCTGCCTTCATGGCCTTACTTTCCACGACAGTAAACCTACTGAGGAAGTGCAGCAGCATACCTGCACGACGTTCATACAAACACAAAGAAGAACAGCGACATGTCCAGGAGCATTGCCAGTAAGTGCAGCTGTTAGGCAGGCACACAGAGCTTTTCCTCTGGGTAAGCAAAGCACTGCCTGCTCCCACCCTCCCCTCCTCAATAAGCAGCCTCCAGCCGGCACGTTGGTGGCTCCACAGGGGCCTGGAACAAGGACGGCGGTGAGCGTGGCCTTCCATCTAGAATGTCCAGCCAAGCACTTGAGCATCAGCTTCCACAGGGACACTTTGGACCAATGGGACAACAGCGGCAGGTCTCACCAAAATGGCTGAGAGGCCATTTTGGCCACCTAGGCCCCTCCCAGTGTTTACAGCATCTCCTTCGAGGGTTGGAGGCCTTTTCCTCTCCAAAGATCTGCCTTGGCTCTGCCGTCAAGAAGCCAGCGCCTCCAGGGCAGGTGCCTCCTTCAACAGCCCCAACTGAGAGGTGTAGGAAGGGTCACGGTTCTCAACCAAATGGCCCCTCCAGGCCACCGTGTCATGAGCCATTATCCTTAAAAGCCCTTTGTGTACACATGTGCTGGCACTGTCACTCTGTCCTACCTTTATTGACCACACTGGCTCGAGGCTTCCCTCCACCCACCTTGGGGTTCTCAGTCTTGGGTGACATGCTAAAACCATCTGGGTGATTCCGCAAGTTCTGATGCCCAGGCAACCTGTGACCAATGGCAAATCTCTGGGGTGGTAGGCGGGTACCAGGACCTATTGAATCCCCCCGTGTGATTTGACTGCAAGGCGCAGCCATGGCTGAGAACCACTGAGCGTCACCCACTGTCATCCGCAGGTTGGGAATTTACACGTGGGTGAGAACTCACTGTCCCTTCGCCACGACCCTCCAGGGCTGTGGCCCACCCTCTGGCCCAGCTGAATCCATTCAAGACAGCCCCTGCTTCCACTTGTTCCTTACACTGAGGTAGAAATGATTCTCCCTGCTTCCTGCCTACAGCTCAGGACATACACAACACTGAAAACCAGGGGCAGGGATGAATCTGAATCCTGAACAAATCCAGAATTAGTGAAGCATGGCAGGGGGTGGGGGAGGTCACTCCACAACACTGATGTCATCACTGCATACCGATAAAGTCCATAGTTCATGGATTGGTATGACTGGTGCAAATACATATGCCTTTCAGAATAAAGAGCAGGAAAAAAAATCACAAAGAGGATGGAAGACAAAACATTACAGAAAGTGACGAAGGGATTCCAACTTACTCTGCAAACATACTGGCTTCGTGCTCCAGGCGAGAAGGTCTGGGAACGGACAATTGTGCCACTCCGAACAAAAGGTGACCCTCGGGCCCGGCGGCTGGGCCGCTCCTTCAGGAGTCTGGCTGCTTCTTCCGGAAACAGATCTTCTGTGTTGGTTTCCTTATCAACCTAGGGGTGGTTGGTGCTTGACCATGACTTCTTTTGTAACGCAAGCAGTGAACTTATGGGAATAGCCCTGTGTTTCACTTCTCCACTTGGGGGTTAGCTGTGGCACGTCCACAATGGAAAGGCTGATATCCCCCAACCCCATCCCAGCCCCTCCTCTCACAGGGATCTCTACTTTCCATTTGTTCATATAAACATCCTTAGTGCCGTCCCGAGCTCCTGATCTCTTTTGCACACCCATATCTAGTCCAAGAGTGATCCCTGCTGGCTCTGTGCTGAAGATCAAGTGGGTTTAGAGCAGTTGTCAGCAACTTTTCACCTGAGTCACCTTTACCCCATGCTCAGATGAGTGCAGTGGGTGCCTCACCAATTTCCCCAATTCCACACCTCCCTGCCCTTAGATCTGTTCTTAAAACAGCAACCAGGGACATCGAAGGAAAACTGGCCAGGCCAAAGGTGGGAACATTCCAGATGTTCGTTGATGGATCAAAGGATCAACAAATTGTGGTCTTAGCCACAAAAGGGAAGAGCATTCAGCCATAAGAACCAATGGAGTTTTTAATACATGCTAACATGTAAATCAACCTTGAAAACATTGTGCTGAATGAAAGATGCCATGTGCCAAAGGCCACATAGTATAGATTCCATTGCTGGAAACATCCAGAAGAGGAAAATCCACACCACCAGAAAGCACATTTGGTGGCTGCAGGTGGCTGGGGGAAGCGGGAATGGCAGTGACTGCTCATTGGGGACAGGTTTTACTTTGGGGTGATAGAAATGTCATGAAACTAGACAGAGGTAGTGGCTGAACAACACTGTGAGTGGACCAAATCCCACTGATGCTTCAGTTTATGTTACATGAACTTCAACTCAACAAATTATTCAACAAATTATTTTAGAAAACACTAACAAAGGAGCTTCAGTCATATCATGTCACCACTGGGCTCAAACCCCACCAATTTCTCATGCCCTCAGAGAAAAGGCAGGGTGCTGGGTGGGTGCTGCTTCGCTCCCTCTGTCCTCAGCACCCCCCACAACACATGACAGCTGTTCCCACCTGACCACGCTTCTGCACACAGCTCAGTGCTCCCTTCCTTGAGGGCCTCTACTCAAACACTGTCTTCTCAGTGAGGCCTTTTGGAACCTTGCTTTTAAAAAAATTGTGGGAAAAACTATACAACAAAATTGGTCAAATTAACCATTTGTGCAGGTACAGTTCAGTGGCATCCATTCACACTGTTGTGCAACAGATCTCCAAAACTTGTTTACCTTGAAAACCTGAAACTGTGTCCTCTCCCCCTAACAACAACTCCCCATTCCCACTCCTGAGATAAAGCAGAGACCCCATTTTAGGGGCCTGCAGACCCCTCGAGCACAGAAATATAGAAAAATCAAATTCCTTCAAGGGAAATTCCAGGCACCTCACTATCCTTGACATGTAAATAAGTAACTTGATAAGCAACAAGGTAATAGTAGTCTAAATCAATAGCCAAGGAAGTTACAGTCTGGAGATGTCTGGTTCTCTAGAGAAGCTAAAGACATCTTGGATGGGCGCCTGTAATCCCAGCACTTTGGGAGGCCGAAGAGGGCGGATCACCTGAGGCTCAGCCTGGCTAACGTGGTGAAACCCTGTCTTTACTTTAAAAAAAAAAAAAAATTAGCCAGGTGTGATGGTGCACGCCTGTAATCCCAGCTACTTGGGAGGCTGAGGTATGAGAATTGCTTAAACCCAAGAGGCGTAGGTTGCAGTGAGCCGAGATCATGCCGCTGCACTGCAGCCTGGGTGACAGAGCAAGACTCTGTCTCCAAAAAAAAAAAGCAAAGCAAAGCAAAAAGAAAAAGAAACCAAAGACATCTTAACATATGTCCCTGATTGTCCTTCAGAAACCCAGACCCCCACCAAAGTGACTCACTGGTACAGACCTTAGATAAGGGGGAGCTGAGGACTGCACTCTGACCCTTGCTCTTTATTCTGAATCTCTTCCTGAGGGGCTGGAGGGAGTCACACCCACAAGTCAGAGCTAACCATCTTTTCTACTGACCCCAAATTTTTAGACAAAGCTTTGCCTCATGAACCAACTGGAATCAGAAAATCTCTGAATCTACCTACGTCCTGTAAGCCCCCGCATCAAGATATCCCATCCTTTTAGGCCAAAAGCAATGTGTAACCTCCATGTATTGATTTATGATTTTACCTATGACTTCTGCTTTCCTGAAATTTACCTCTGCCTTTCAAAACCCTTCCCTGCAAGGCATGGGGAGGTCAGGTCTTAAGCATGAACTGCCTGATTCTCCTTGTTTAGTGACTGCAAATAAACGCCATCCTTCTGGCCCTGCAAAACACCTTGGTACAGACACCTGGCTTTACTGCACTGGGTGGGTGGACCCCAGCTCGGTTCTGTAACATGCCCATGCAGCCCATCCAAGTCCCTGGCAGCCACCATTCTACTCTCTGACCCTGTGAATTCAACTACTCCAGGAATCGCACATGAATGAAATCATATGGTATTTGTCTTTTTGTGCTTTTCTATTTTCTTCGCCAGCCACCAGTAAACTCATTAGCATATAAAAAGATTTTTTTTTCTTCAGATTCTAAGGATTTTAGGAGTTGTATGCCAGAAATCATGCAACTCAAAGAGTTGAAGACCAAATAAATATTCACACTGGCTCATTCACAGAGCATGAGTCTTCAGAGCTCATCCATGTTGTAGCATGTGACAGAATTTCCTTCCATTTTAAGGTTGAACAATATTCAACTGCATGGATAGACCACGTTTTCTTTATCCACTCATCCACCATGGACAGACACTTCAGTTGCTTCCATCTCTTGGCTATTGTGAATAATGCTGTTGCTACAAACATGGATGTGTACATATTTCTTTAAGATCCTTTCAAAATTGTTTAGGATATACACCCAGACATATCCAGAAGCAGGACTGCGGGATCCTCTGGTGGTTCTATTTTTAATGTTTTGAAGAACCACTATACTGTTTTCTATAGCAGCTGCACCATTTTATCATCCTGACCTTTGTAAAATGTAAATATAAATTTACATTTCTAAATGTGAACCCTTTCTAAAACTGCAAACCTCTCTACAAGCGTCTGCCCACTTTCCTGCCATTGTGTTCTCCAGAAGCACCCTTGCTCTCTGTGACATGAGCATATGCTAGCAATGTCTCCTTTGGTGTCTCCCTCTCAAGGGTGGGTGGGGAGTTTGTTTTCTTTTTTTTCCTACTCACCCACTATACTAACTTTGTTGTATCTGTGATGCCCACACAGAAAGGGAGAATACAAACGTGGTGATGAACTAACGACTGTGGGGTCTAGGTGAGGTGTATAGATATTTGTTGCATTATTCTAGCAACTTTTCTGCAGATTTAACTTTTTAAAAATAAAAGCTGAGGGAAGGGGAAACACCAAATATGCCTCCCACAGCCACTTGCCCTGGCTTGGGCTGCTGCTTTTTGAGATCTTGGAAAGTCGGACAAGGGCCCTGACCAGCCGCCTGGTCCAAAACAACTGTGAACTTGCTGTGTGGGTCACAGCTTGGGAAGCTGCCGGGGGCAGATTTCATTTTGTGCTTCTGATTGAGGGCAGGGGCATGAGGGTGATAAAATGCTTTTGTGAGCTGAAGAGTGGGGAAACAAAGTTATGAAACAGCACTGACACAGTGTCCTCCCTGACCTTGCAGGCACTGTAAACACGAGGGATTCTCCCCTAAAGACGCGGTGACAGCAAGCTAGTAGCAGATGAACAGAAGGGAGGAAAGGACAGCACTATTCTACACTTCACAGAAGGGGAAGAGGAACTACAAATGTCCAAAACCTGGGGGACTCATGGATCCTCCAGAGCCTCATTTGTCCCTGAAGGTGGGAATGGATCAGCGATACCTATTAAAGCCATTTACAGATCTCAGGTCATTCACTTTTTTTCCTCAGCTCACAGTAAAACCAGCCTTAGCTGTGGCCCTCAAATCCAACAGCAGTGTCCATTTTATACCACAACTTTCTTGTGTGCCCAACACTCAGGCCACTGGGCGTGTGTGCAGGTCAGCCATGTGGCTCTCCTTCCTGGGAGCCCCTGCTCTGCTTGCCTTTGGTGTATCTTCCCCCATCTCCTCACACTTCCCATGAAGAATTTGGGGTCACACAGCCTCTCCTTCCAGGGCAGTACCAGGTATATATGGCAAAATGTTGGGGGTGGGGGACTCCAGAAAATCCCCTATGGTTTCCACTTACCTTAAGAGGTGAGGGCTGAAATTTCTCAGGGCTATAAGGCCCTGCCTGAGCAGCAAACGTGTGGCCCAAGATGGAGTCAATACCCACACAACAGGGCTCTGGGTACGGAGGGCTGGTCTGGGTGCAGTTGCTACAGCCGCTATCCACTGAGTCCGCTTGCCAACTCCTGAAGATGGACATTGCAGAAGCCCAAATTGTCACCAAAAGGGACATATTTCATGCTACTCTTAGAGCACAGTAGTAGAGGTATGCAATAAAGCCATTTCTTTCCAATGATCAAAGACAGTTGTCTCTCATAAAGTAAAAGGGCACTTCTGTTTTCCAGGGAAGATAGCTCTTCAAGGACTTTCATTAAGAGGGCCTTTCTCTATCACCAATTGCAGCCACTGAAGATCCCAGAAAAGCACACCACTCAGCCCCAAATCCCTCCCAGCTCCTGTCCATCCCAGAACACAACACCTTCTCCTCAGAATGCACTATCGCTCCGCAAAATAAATTCCTCTCTTAAACTAAACTCAGGGGAAGCCATGGGGAAGCCACTGGGAAGCAGCAGGAAGCCCCTGAAAGACAGCACACTTTATGGAAAGATGTAGAAGTACAGCAATATGTAAGCACCTCCAGAGACTACAAACACAAGCCAAGGCAGCAGAGGTGCCTGTTCAACAGAATCACTCATCTATGGCATGCAGGCTGCCACAGGGCCAAGGATTCACCAATAGGCTACTTCATGTGAAGCAGAAAGTGACCCCATTTGTAGGAAGTGTCCAGACCGGCAAGTCCATAGACACAGGGGGCAGATTTGTGGTTGCAGGGAATCAGAGGGGAACCTGGGAGTACATTTGGCTAGGGATAGGTAGAGTGTGTGATGAAAATAAAATGCTGTAAAATTTACCATGCCTGGGCCGGGTGTGATGGCTCACTGCTATAATCCCAGTAGTCTGGGAGGCTGAGGCAGGCAGATCACAAGGATAGGAGATCCAGACCAGCTTGACCAACATAGTGAACCCCTG